ATCTGCTCTTTCTTTGCCGTAAACATGCAAACACACTAAGAAGATGAGCTTTTGAGTAGACAGGCTCTTTTTTTTTCTTTTTTTTTTGCAGCTATTCCACTCTTTTTTTATGTTATGATTATGATGTTTAAATATTACATTTTAGTAAGTGTGCATGACTTATATTTCCTACTATTATTTATTTGCCTACCACTGTTTTGCTACTTAAGTACTTTTTTTATTTTATTTATTTTTATTAGTTCTCTTGATATATTTTATTTATTTATTTATTTATTTATTTATTTATTTATTTATTTATTTATTTATTTATTTATTTATTTATTTATTTATTTATTTATTCATCTATTAATTTATTTATTCATTTATCTATTTATTTATTTATTTATTTATTTATTTATTTATTTATTTATTAAAGTTCTGTTTAAAGCTGTGAAATTTTATAAAAAATAATATATATAATAATAATAATAATAATAATAATAATAATAATAATAATTATTATTATTATTATTATAATAATAATAATAATAATAATTATTATTATTATTATTATTATGTTTAATATTTATGTCAATTTATAATTATGATAATCCATTATTATTATTATTATTATTATTATTATTATTATTATTATTATTATTATTTATGTATTATTATTATTATTATGTTTTATTATTATTACTATCATTATTACATCATTATTATTTCATTATTTATAAAAATAATATAATATTATTATTATTATTATTATTATTATTATTATTATTCATTGTAAATTAAATGTTTTGTTTTATAATAAATAATGGTAATTGTGATAATCTATTATTATTATTTTTATATATATTTTTAATTAATTCATTCATTCATTTTATTTTTGGCTTAGTCCCTTTATTAATCTGGTGTCGCCACAGCGGAATGAACTGCCAACTTATCCATCATATGTTTTATGCAGCGGATGCCCTTCCAGCTGCAACCCATCACTGGATGGATGGATGGATGGAAATTTCGAAGCATTTAAACCTTGAATTTTCCAAACTGCGGCAAACCGGTTATCATCCCATGCCAAATGTCAATCACTGATGTTGGCAGTAAGAAAGCAGAGCTCTGGTTTCCGCATCAGGAATAGGCTGTGATATATATATATATATATGTATATGTATACAGTGATCATTCTGTAGCAGTGACTGTATAGAGGGACTGTGTTATCTGCAGAGACAGATAAGGGATTTTTTCCCGCCTCCACGCTGCTCAGCACCCGCATATTCACAATCACAGCCCTAATGAACCAATGACAGGCCGCCTGTTCACAGCAGGGGTCCGCCACACAAACAACACTGCTCATCACGCTTCACTGCTCTAGGTGTGCTGCGGACAAAATGTTTCATGTAGTTGTTTTTTTTTTAACCATTATAAGGCCTGTCCACACTGAGTGAAATGAACCACAGGAATGTCTAACCAACAACCATGCATTAATGGACCAATGAATAAATAAATAAAGTCATAATTTAGTCAATTCTATCTATCTATCTATCTATCTATCTATCTATCTATCTATCTATCTATCTATCTATCTATCTATCTATCTATCTATCTATCTATCTATCTATCTATCTATCTATCTATCTATCTATCTATCTATCTATCTATCTATCTATCTATCTATCTATCTATCTATCTATCTATCTATCTATCTATCTACCCATCTATCTATCTATCTATCATCAATTTTAAATGTATGATTCAGAGTTGGTGAGCAGGAAAGGCTTCTTTCAAAAACATGAAAACTTAATAGATTATTATATTATATTATATTATATTATATTATATTATATTATATTATATTATATTATATTATATTATATTATATTATATTATCTATGAAGTGAGCTACTCGTCCAATCGATTTCTTTCCCCTCATCTGTCCCCGTCTCTGCAGAGCTCAATAGGGTGTTGAGTCTCTATCAGACAGAAATCAGCTCTGTTTCTGACACTCACAGCACAATGTCTTCTTCTCCCTCCACAGGAAGAGCCGTACGTGATGTTCAAGAAGTCGGATAAGCCGCTGTATGGTAACGATCGTTTCGAGGGTTACTGTGTCGACCTGCTGCGTGAGCTCGCCGCCATCCTGGGCTTCGGTTATGAGCTGCGTCTGGTGGAGGACGGACGGTACGGGGCGCAGGACGAGAGCTCGGGACAGTGGAACGGCATGGTGCGAGAGCTCATGGACCACGTGAGTCTTACTGTACTGCTTTCGCTGGAGAATTTATACTCAAAGATAACAAATGACAATAAGTTTATACATATTATTATTATTTTTTATTTTATTTTATATACAGTACAGTGGTCAACATACAGTTGAAGTCAGAATTATTCGCCCTCTTTGATTTATGTTTTATTTTTTAAATATTTCCAAATGATGTTTCACAGAGCAAGTAAATTTTTACAATATGTCTGATAATATTTTTTCTTCTGGATAAAGTCTTATTTGTTTTATTTCAGCTAGAATAAAAGCAGTTTTTAATTGTTTAAACAACATTTTATAGTCAATATTATTAGGTCAATTATTATTAAGCAATTTTTTTTATAGTCCACTGAACAAACCATCATTATACAATAACTTGCCTAATTACCCCAAGTAAACCTAATTAACCTAGTTAAGCCTTTAAATGTCACTTTAAGCTGTATAGAAGTGTCTTGAAGAAAATCTAGTCAAATATTATGTGCTGTCATCATGGCAAAGATCAAATAAATCAGTTATTAGAAATTAATTATTAAAACAATTATGTTTAGAAATGTGTTGAAAAAATCTGCTCTCCGTTAAACAGAAATTGGAAAACAAAAATAAATAGACAGGGGGCCTAATAATTCTGACTTCAATTGTATATGAGTTCACCCCTCACAAATCTGTCATTTAGATTGGCCTTTACAATATTATGTTTGGGCATATTCAGATCTGGAGCTAATCCAACAAGGTAACTTGTGATAATGGTCTAAAATTAGTACACAGAAAATGTATATGTCGTAGAAAAATATTAAATAAAAAATAGATAGAGGAAAATTCAAAAGAAACAAAAAATATATAAAATGTTGTTGAAATTGTGTAGTTTGCAATTTTTTACCATTTTTTTTTTCATGAATTTAATTGTATTATCTTTCTATTTCTAAAGATGTTTGGTGAATAAAATATTATTTTAATAAATATATCAGTTTAATAAATCTGTTTGTTCAAATTAACCAAAATATATGAGCTATATTCACCAAGAAATGGAAAAAAATATTAATTTTCAAAATGGGGTGTACTCAGTTATGTTGAGCACTGTATATGTATTATAATACAGTGCATCTGGAAAGAATTGATAGCGCTTCACTTTTTCCACATTTTCCTATAACAGCCTTACTCCAAAATGGATTAAATTAATTGATTTCCTCAACATTCTACACACAATCCCCCATAATGACAATGTGAACACAGAGTTTTTGAAATTGTTGTAGATTTTTTAAACGCGGTCAAAATCAAACGAGGGCTTTTTCTTTTTCCTGGACGGCTTTTGTAAATCGTCGCTTGGGTTTAGGGAAGGAGGAGGGTGGCTGGGTCAGCCGATTGGCCGGCCGCCCAGTCAATCATTTAGTCAGTTAGTCAGTCAGATGGTTGCTGGACAGCGTCTTCCGACGGCTTTTTGCACGAGAACAGCGCGAGCGCGAACGGCGCACACTTGCGAGAGGCATTCGAGGCACGAAAAAGCGCGCACAGCGGCCTCTCGCGGATTCACGAAAACAAAAACTGCACAAATACATACCTCCCGGGATGTATTTCGCGGTCTCCAAAAAACGTAATTATTAACGCGGTCTCCAAAAACCGCTTGTTCCAGAACAAGCCTGAGTTTGGTATAGGTGTTTCCCAGTGATGGGTTGCAGTGAGAAGGGCATTCATTCATTCATTCATTCATTTTCTTGTCGGCTTAGTCCATTTATTAGTCCGGGGTCGCCACAGCGGAATGAACCGCCAACTTATCCAGCAAGTTTTTGCGCAGCGCATGTCCTTCCAGCCGCAACCCATCTCTGGGAAACATCCACACTCACACACACACATACACACACACACACACTCATACACTACGGACAATTTAGCCTACCCATTTCACCTGTACCACATGTCTTTGGACTGTGGGGGAAACCGGAGCACCCGGAGGAAACCCACGCGAACGCAGGGAGAACATGCAAACTCCACCCTCAAACGCCAACTGAGCCGAGGCTCGAACCAGCAACCAGCGACCTTCTTGCTGTGAGGCAACAGCACTACCTACTGCGCCACTGCTTCGCCCTGAGAAGGGCATATACTGTGTAAAACATGCTGGATAAGTTGGCGGTTCACTTCACTGTGGCAATCCCTGATGAGCAAAGGGACTAAGTTAAAGAAAATGAATGAAGTCACAACCCTAATGTGCTAAAGAAGTAAATAAATGAATGAACAAACTATATTTTCAGTTTAGTTTAGGATCCTTTATATATTTTTACCACATTGATTGATTAATTTTTTTTTAACTAAACCCAAAAAAGATCCACTCCACTAAAATGCAGTTCAACTGCAATTACATTATAAAGAAATGGCGCTTTATAAGGCGTACTTAATTCACTCCAGGATGCTGCACAATTTCTGACACATTTCCAGCCGGCTGCAGAAGGAACTTGTCAAGATTATCCAATGAAAGAAGATGCTTTCAGTGCAGAGAGGAAACAGATATGAAAATAAGATTAACAGTGTGTGTGTGTGTGTGTGTGTGTGTGTGTGTGTGTGTGTGTGTGTGTGTGTAGCAGATGGCACGAAGATGCTCTAAAGTAAAACTCAAGCACATACTGCCGAGAGGACACAAAGTGAAAAATCTGCCATTAGCCTTCCCCCCATAGAGCTTATTAAACACTTTCACACACACACATAGTGGAAAACACTGCCCTCCGACACTCTCATTAGACTTGACAAAGACTAAAATAGGAATAAACACACGTATAAACGAGTGTTTTCTGCACAGGCCGTGTTTAGTAGCAGTTCAATAGCAGTATCCATTGCTATTGCCGATCTCTGTTGGTCATGGTTGGATTGGCTGGAGTCAAAAAGAGTGTGTATGTGTGTGTGTGTGTGTGTGTGTGTTGTCGTAACATTCGCCAGCACAAGACGAGAGCAGGACAGACTGTAATTGGCCTTGACAAGCTTTCAGAGCAGTCTGGAGTTTGCGGTTTGCCAGTACATTGATGTGCTGGAGATAAAAATATCTTGTCAAAGGACTTTTAAAAAAAAGTAGCGAGACAACATCTGCTCACTTCTGGCATTAATTTGCCCCCTCTGGGAATAATTATAGACAATCCAATAATTCTAGACAGAGGCCTTTATTTTGACTGAAATTATACCAATTCTACCAGTAAAAGTAGTGAAATTGAGCTAAATGTCAGTTTTGGGGGGCACAGCCGCTTTTGGATGGTGTCAGCGCTTTGACGGCAGGTCCTCCATCACGACTGGGAGGCAAAACTTAGCTTTCTTCTTCTGCTACTGAATCTGTACTATGCTTATATTCACAATGGTACTACAGACAACGCTCCAAAAGCAGTGTGGTTGCATCTGTGTCTGTTGCAGATGCTGTTTGTTGCAGATGCTGAACGTCAAAACATTGACGTTCAATGGACATCCACACATCTTTGAGCTTTCAGATTAATAAAATATATTTTTATATTGTTATACCAATTGTGTTTATATTTTAACGGTCAATATGACATCAATGTGTGGATGTCAAATAGACATCAAAAATACGTCCGAATGCTGATTGATTTCAAGTCAAAACCTTGACATTCAATTGACATCCACACATTGATGCCTTTTGGACTACCAAAATAGCCTTTACAGAAATTACAGAAATTCAATGTAAAATAACAGATATCAAATTACAGAAATTTACTGTAAAATAACAGATATCAAATTACTGAAATTTACTGTAAAATAACAGATATTAAATTACAGACATTTACTGTAAAATAACAGATATCAAATTACAGAAATGTATGTAAAATAACGGATATTAAATTACAAAAAATGACTGTAAAATAACAGATATTAAATTATAGACATTTACTGTAAAATAACAGATATAAAATTACAGAAATTTACGTTAAAATAACAGATTAAATTACAGACATTTACTGTAAAATAACAGATATAAAATTACAGAAATTTACTGTAAAATAACGGATATCAAATTACAGAAATTTACTGTAAAATTATGGATATTAAATTACAAAAAAATTACTGTAAAATAGCAGATATAAAATTACAGACATTTACTGTAAAATAACAGATATTAAATTACAAAAAATTACATTACTGTAAAATAACAGATCAAATTACAGAAATGTATGTAAAATAACGGATATTAAATTACAAAAAATTACTGTAAAATAACAGATATTAAATTATAGACATTTACTGTAAAATAACAGATATAAAATTACAGAAATTTACTCTAAAATAACAGATTAAATTACAGACATTTACTGTAAAATAACAGATATTAAATTACATACATTTACTGTAAAATAACATATATCAAATTACAGAAATTTACTGTAAAATTACAGATATTAATTTCCAGAAATTTACTGTAAAATAGCAGATATAAAATTACAGAAATTTACCAGAAATGTAAATTTAAGGAAATTTCTGTAATTTAATATCTGCTATTTTACGGTGTATTTGTGTAATTTAACGGAAGTTATCATTTACATATTTTTTCCCGCCCCCCAGTTGCCAGAAATAAACAAAGTTATGATTTTTTTTTTTACAGTGTACTTAAAGCTCTGGTAAACATTATCACATATTACCACTTAGGTACTGTACAGCTTAACGTACAACTTAAGAATGACGTAGCCTTAAAAAGGTTTGGAGAAGCGCAGCACAGACCTTTTCTGCTTAGCGTTGGACTTTAAAAGCAGAACCTCAGCCTGTTGACATATTTCACCTCTCACATGCACATTATGCGCAGCCAAACGTCGCTCTGAACTGCTAAGAAGACACAGGTTTTGATTATTGCAGCCGCGGTTGTCAGAGTGATGACAACCTTACAGAGGCCACACAAACACACTTTGAGAGCATGTTGAGTAGTGTTTGTGTAGGCAGGGCCGTTTATAGGCATAAGTTGCCGAGAGCGTCATCATCTGCCTTCAGAAGCCAGAGCCAATGGAAACGGAAACTCATAAGTGACTGATCTGGAACACTCTACGCAGGCCAATAAAATGATCAGAGTCATTATAGTGCCTACATTATTTGCATTGGTACTGCTTGAATTGCTGATTGTTTTTTCTTCCTTCCTAATTTGCATTTTCTTAATTTGTCTCCTTCAAATAATTTGCATGAATAGACGTCACACACACACACACACATGCACACACACTCAGCTTACAGTGGGAGAGGTGTAGTTGGTGAAGTATGCACATTATAGGCTTAAATGACTAATTAGGTGAGCGTTACTCTTTCATCATGTGTAATGTGCTGTGTTTGGTGTGTAAATGTTTGCTGCAGATGTCGAGCTGTGATTTGCACTCTCTCTTTTAAAGTGTTGTTGTTTTTGTTGAATTTCTGTTTACATCAATATAAATGCCTTTTTTGAAGAGTAGTCTGATCTGAATTAATTTGTTAAATTCAGTGCTGGTAATATGAAATATTCATAAAAATTAGGCAAGGCTGTAGGATGTTTATTTTATATATCATTAATTCATTTTCTTTTCAGCTTAGTCCCTTTATTAACCGCCAACTTATCCAGCATATGTTTTATGTTGCGGATGGCCTTCCAGCTGCAACCCATCTCTGGGAAACATCCATACACACTTACTCACACTCATACACTGCGGACAATTTAGCCTACCCAATTAACCTGTACCACATGTCTTTGGACTGTGGGGGAAACCGGAGTCCCCGGAGGAAACCCACGCAAACACAGGGAGAACATGCAAACTCCACACAGAAACACCAAATGAGCCAGCCGAAGTTCGAATCAGCGACCTTCTTGCTGTGAGACAACAGCACTACCTACTGCGCCTTTATTTTATCCTTTATTTTATTTCAATAAAATTTTATAGTATTTTTTTCTTCAAAATATTAATAATCAAATTTTGCTCCAAAATATTAAAAATATTTATTTTTGATCAAAAATAATAATCAAATGTTCCTCCAAAGTATTAATAATCACATTTTGCACCAAAATAACAATCAAACGTTGCTCCAAAGTATTAATAATCACATTTTGCACCAAAATAACAATCAAACGTTGCTCCAAAGTATTAATAATCACATTTTGCACCATCATGATTACACTTTGCTCCAAAGTATTGATACTATTTTTTTCTCCAAAATATTAAAAATCTAATTTTGATCCAAAGTATTAATAATATACCTTTGCACCAAAATAATAATAAAAATTTGCTTTAAAGTATTAAGGATTAAATTTTACTCCAAATTATTGAGAATCAAATTTTGCTCTTAAATATTAATAATAAAAGTTTGCTCCAGATTAGTGAGAATCAAAATTTGCTCCAAAATATTAATGATCAAATTTTGCTCCAAATTATGAATAATTAAATTTTTATCAAAAATATCAAATCATATTTTGCTCCAAAGTAATTCAGTTTTGCACCAAAATAATAATCTAATTTCCCCTAAACATATTAATAATCAAATTTTGCCACAAAGTATTAACAATCTAATTTTTCTCAGAATAATAATAATCTAATTTTGCTACAAATTATTAATAATACAATTTTATTCAAACTAATAATCATCAAATTTTACTACAAATTATTATTAATCAAACTTTGCTCCAAAGTATTTATTCTCAAATGTTGCTTCAAACTATTAATAACCAAATGTTTTTCCAAATTATTAATTAAAATTTTTTCCAAATATTAATAATCAAATGTTGCTCCAAAAGATTATCAATCATATTTTGCTCCAAAGTAATTACATTTTGCACCAAAATAATAATCAAACTTTGCACCGAAATATTATTCATCAGTTCTGCTCCAAATTATTAACAATCACATTTTGCACCAAAATAATAATCACATTTTGCACTGAAATATTATTCATCAGTTATGCTCCAAATTATTAACAATCACATTTTGCACCAAAATAATAATCAAATGTTGCTCCAAAACATTATTAATCCAATTGTGCTCCAATTTATGAATTAATTTTAGGGTTTTTCAACAATTAATTTTTGCTCCAAAGTAATGGTCAGATTTTGCTCCAAAATACACTCAAAAAATGATGTTTGTTCTTTTTTTTTTTTTAAACAACTTATTTAAAATGAGCTGAAACAACACAATGCTTGAGTTTTTTGCAGGGCAACTTATTTGTTGTATGTTCAATCCACTTAAATGACTAAACACTTCCTTCATGTTGTTCCAACACAAATCTATTGTGCATTTTTTACAGTGTATAAATAATCAAATTTTCCTCCTTAATAACTGGCCTTGCTATTTTCAGCTTCTGACAGCGAGCCAGACCTGTGTGAGACCTTTATCCCCCTTCATTTTCCTTCCTTCATATCTGCTATTTTCATTTTTCCGAGTCTCGTTATGGCTATAGCTGAGAGAGTGTGTTCGGTTGAGCGCACCGGCTGGTCCCTTAGACCCAGTAAATCAGTTCAGGCTTTAGTAAGTGCTGAAACAGTAGCAGGTAAATCACGAGAGTCCACGAGAGGGCTTTAAATTTCCCCTTAAACGCTGTGGGGCAGAGTGTGTGATGTGTAAAAGCCCTGTTTTCTTAATTTGATTTCCTCTAAATGCTTCTGCTCGGCCCTTGATTTACGGCCTATCCCTCTTTCTTTTTTTTTTTATTTGTTGGCAGAAAGCTGATCTTGCAGTGGCGCCGCTGGCCATCACATACGTGCGGGAGAAGGTCATCGACTTTTCCAAACCCTTCATGACGCTGGGGATAAGTATACTGTACCGAAAACCCAACGGCACCAACCCGGGGGTCTTCTCCTTTCTCAACCCCCTGTCCCCCGACATCTGGATGTATATTCTGCTCGCTTACTTGGGTGTCAGTTGTGTGCTGTTTGTCATAGCCAGGTAACATACCAGTCACATATATTTATATATATTTATATAGACATTACTGTACCATACATCATGAGCTCATTTCATTAACATGTTCACACTTTGGAATTTGTAACGATAGAGGTCTTAAAGGAATAGTTTGCTGTACATTGAAATTAAAGTCATAATTTAGTCACTTTCATTGTTCCAAGTCTGTAGGATATTTAATTTTGTTTTCTGTTGTTTTGTTTTGTGTTTTGCATTTCTTTGTTGTGTCCCAACTTTGTATTTTATTTTATTTTATTTTATTTTATTTAATTTTATTTTATTTTATTTTATTTTATTTTATTATTTTATTTTATTTTATTTTATTTTATTTCATTTTAATGTCCAAATCTGTAAGATTTTATTTATTTATTTTATTTATTCATTTTTACTTGTGTTTCAGGTCTGTAAGATTTTTATTTTATTTTATTTAATTTTATTTAATTTTACTTAATTTAATTTTATTTTATTTTATTTATTTTATTTTATTTTATTTTATACAACTCTTCAGTATGATTTTTTTTTGTATTTTATTTATTTATTTATTTAGTTATTTGTATAGTTATTTATTTATTTATTTAGTTAGTTAGTTAGTTAGTTAGTTAGTTAGTTAGTTAGTTAGTTAGTTAGTTAGTTAGTTAGTTAGTTAGTTAGTTAGTTTTTGTATAGTTATTATTTATTTATTTATTTTTTATTTTATTTTTATTTTTTGTGTTTGTGGGATTTTATTTTACTTTTATTAATTTTTATTTATTAATTTTTATTTTATTTATTTTTTGTATTTTTCATTGCATTCCAATTATGTATTTTTCATTGCATTCCAATTATGTATTAATTAATTTATTTATTTATCTATTTATTTATTTATATATTTATTTTAATTTATTTATATTATTTTTATTTATTTTATTTCATTTAGTTGTCTTTCAAGTCAGTAAAATGTATTTTATTTTATTTTACGTTATTTTATTTTATTTTTATTTTTATTTATTTTTTATTTTATTTTATTTTATTTTATTTGTGTGTGAGAGTGTGTGCAATTTTATTTGTCGTCAACCCAACTTCTATTACTTCTCAATGAAAGAGCCTGCTTTAGCTTTTTCTAACTTATTTTATTAATCTTCCATGGGAAAGTTTAACAGAATTGGAATGCCATGAGTTTGAGTAAATGATGACTTAAGGAATAGGTTAACGATTCCCTCAAGACTTCTGAATACCACTCACTATATTTACATGATGAAGCCTCATAAGATGCAGCGAGTTCCTGCAGGTGTGAATAGGAGATAACAAAGAGTTAAGGCATTCATTTTAGAAAGAAAGACGAAACACACACACACACACTCACACCAACACATACAGTAACTACACATGAGAAGCATTGCTTTGGTTTTGATGTTGAAGAGTTACAGTTTGTGCCTCTCATGAGATAAAGATAGCACAAGATAGCATAGATGAAAAATCACAGTTACAACACTGTGTGTGAAAGACAGAAAATAGGAAGTGTTCAAGTGCATGCATGTGTGTGTGTGTGAGAGAGTGAGGCATTTTCTGGTGTGAAACGCAAACCTCTCCCCATCCCTCGCTGTCCTTACTGTGTCTAGTTTGTATACCTTTCTTTTCTCATTGGGTTTTTCCACATCCTGCTTCGCAACTCCTATGGAAACAGACATTTAGGATAATCTAATTCTAAACATTTGCATATCACACTAGTATACATTCAAAATGCACTGTAAAAATATACATACAATTTCAGGTTTCCATATTTTGTGATTCATTTTTTACATTTTTAGTTTTCCCCCGTTTATTTTTGAATTACAATTGCATTATGAGACATAAATCTCTTCAAACACAGTTAAATACCAGCAGCCTACAATTATAGCAATGTCTCAATGTATTAATTTAACATTTACGTCATATTAGATCTTAGATTTGCTCTTATACTCAATTTAATTCTACACTCTTTCATGTTTAACCACTATAGAGTCATTCACCAGAGCCACCGGCAGATTCCAAAACAAGCATCACTCTGATGAGTAGATGAGCAATGACTAGGCCCAAACGAAATCTGCGCGTGCAGAATTCCACAGATTTTCCAGAGATTTTCCACAGAATTCCGCAGATTTCTGCAGATTTTTAGCCCGTTATTAATTCTGTTTATTTGCTTGAGTAAATGTGTAAATCTGAATATATTCAGTTTTTATTCAGTAATTTATTACTTTTTATTTAATATATTAAGGTTTTAGTTATGATACTCTGCTGGATACTCTTTTCTTATAAAACTATATTATTTCAAACGACTAAAATGTCAGTAAAAGTCACTGTGCTAAACTGTAATCAAAAGTCGACAGAGCCAAGATCAACATCCCATAATGCATTCCACTACCGGAAATAAATGGAAAACACTGATGAATCGCAAAATGCAGAAACAGATATGTTTTATAGTGCAGAACACACACACACACACACACACACACACACACACACACACACACACACACACACACACAAACAAGAAGTAGAGACTTAATTATAATCCCTGGCCTTTTAATTGTCAGATTTACTAGATATTTAACGCAATCTCACGGCAATTCGTAACTTTTTGCTTTAGTGGCTAATTCGTATGAATTCGTACGATCTAATTCGTACAATTTAATACGATTTGCTCATCACCCAATGACGGTTAGGGTTAGGTGCCACGCCTCCTTTTTAAAATCTTACATTTTCATACAACTGAACTTGAATTCGTACGAATTAGCCACTAAACTGACAAAACGCAAAATACTTACGTTTCCTCGTGAGATTAGACTGAGAATGAATTGATAAATAAATCATGTTGGACCTTATAAGACTATTTCTCCGCAGGAGGGAGACTTGCATGCAATATTAAATTATTTTTAAAGTCTCTATCTTGCATGAGGTAGTGCTGCTGACATTTGACTATCACAAATTGAACTATTAGTTGCTAGGCAACTCATCCATCCCATAATTACAAAATGCGATTGGCCTCTCCTTCCATTAGACTTTCAGTGCTTCCATTAAAAATGCATTGCATTTGACTTTATACACGATTTCTGTTCAAACTAAGGTGAAAACATCGGTAACACTTTACTTGAAGAGGCATTCACTGTTATAAAACCTTTATAATCATAATGCAAGGATGACATTGTTTGTTGTGGCAACCTGACTGAAACTTATATGCTTATAGCAACTGTCATTAAGTCTTATTAAGCGCTCACTTATGACATTTTTAATGCATCGATGACATTGTCTGTTATGGCAATGTGACTGAAACAAGTACATCACAACCTGTTTTTGTCATGACAACTTGACATTTGCAAGTCAACAAAAGCTGTCATAAATCTGTCATAAACATGAGTGTCCTGAAGCCATTATAAGTATGTCAGTGTCGGTTAACAAGCCATTAATGTGTTATTAAATATTAACGACACTCTTAAAATGATTAGACATGAAACATTTTAATGACAAATACAATGAAAAAGTGATCAAAAAAACATTCACCACACAATTATAATGCCTCATGACATTCATGTTTATGACAGATTTATGACAGGTCCTGGCAATGTCAAGTTGTCATAACAAACAATGTCATCTTTGCTCTTATAATGACAAAACTGAGGAAATCACACTTAATAACATCACACTTACACTCATCACTCATGTCATGTCATGATTATAAAGGCTTTATGACAGTCTTATGAACACCTCTAGTAAAATGTTACCAAAATCTTCTTTTTATTTATTTATTTATTAGAGCCACAATAATGCTACAAAATCTTTTCCACTTGGAATATTATACATGCTTATAACAACTGTCATTAAGTCTTATTAAGCGCTTACTTATGGCATTTTGAATGCAACGATGACATTGTCTGTTATGGCAATGTGACTGAAACAAGTACATTACAACCTGTTTATGTTATGACAACTTGACATTTGCAAGTCAACAAAAGCTGTCATAAATCTGTCATAAACATGAGTGTCCTGAAGCCATTATAAATATGTCATCAATTTTTTAACAGTGTCGGTTAACAAGCCATTAATGTGTTATTAAATATTAACGACACTCTTAAAATGATTAGACATGAAACATTTTAATGACAAATACAATGAAAAAGTGATCAAAAAAACATTCACCACACAATTATAATGCCTCATGACATTCATGTTTATGACAGATTTATGACAGGTCCTGGCAATGTCAAGTTGTCATAACAAACAATGTCATCTTTGCTCTTATAATGACAAAACTAAAGAAAATCACACTTAATAACATCACACTTACACTCATCACTCATGTCATGTCATGATTATAAAGGCTTTATGACAGTCTTATGAACACCTCTAGTAAAACGTTACCAAAATCTTCTATTTATTTATTTATTTATTAGAGCCACAATAATGCTACAAAATCTTTTCCACTTGGACTATTATGCATGCTTATAACAACTGTCATTAAGTCTTATTAAGCGCTTACTTATGACATTTTGAATGCAACGATGACATTGTCTGTTATGGCAATGTGACTGAAACAAGTACATTACAACCTGTTTATGTTATGACAACTTGACATTTGCAAGTCAACAAAAGCTGTCATAAATCTGTCATAAACATGAGTGTCCTGAAGCCATTATAAATATGTCATCAATTTTTTAACAGTGTCAGTTAACAAGCCATTAAAGTGTTATTAAATATTAACGACACTCTTAAAATGATTTGACATGAAACATTTTAATGACAAATACCATGAAAAAGTGATCAGAAAAACATTCACCACACAATTATAATGCCTCATGACATTCATGTTTATGACAGATTTATGACAGGTCCTGGCAATGTCAAGTTGTCATAACAAACAATGTCATCTTTGCTCTTATAATGACAAAACTAAAGAAAATCACACTTAATAACATCACACTTACACTCATCACTCATGTCATGTCATGATTATAAAGGCTTTATGACAGTCT